CTTCCTTCTTCTTGAGGACCAGGAAAAGATGACCCAAACAGTCTCCAGTGAACAGAGAAATCACTGAGGCAGTGACTGACAGGAAGCTGTTGATCTTGAGGTCTCTGTTAGTGTTAATATTTGACATGGCAGCCAAGCAGTGGGTGGTGGATTTTGTATGGGACCTGTCCTTTTGAAGGAAAATTATTTTGTTACCCAGAAAGAGCAAATTCATCTGTTTCGTTCACTGATTCTTCAGAGAGCTTGGGAAATTTGCCTTTACACCTTGGGAAATCACCACCTGTGGTCTGTATTCTGGACTGTGGTGAAACCAGTGCAAATATCTTTGGCTCTGAAGGAGTTTCCCTGCTCTTAATTAATGATGATGAGCAGCTAATGTGCCTGATCAGAAGAGGTGAATTAATTTAGTGACAATCTCCTCTGTTCCAGCAGTAAATAAACAGGCAGAGGCAAGAAGTGGTGTTGAGCTCCCCTGTCCTGAAGTTAAGGGCATGGAACAAGTGACAGAGAGAGGGACAAGAGTTTGCAGCCACAGTGAAGGTGACAGTGGGCAGAGGGTACACGATGTTTGTTCTCCTTCACAGAGCACTCAATAAAGGCTGCTCATGCATAAAACTGATTTTCAGTGGGGAAACTCCAGTCCCAGTGACTAAAGTTCCTGTCCAAGGCCAGTCACAGGACCACCTCCAGTCTGTGTCCTGGCCATGGACAGGGAGGGAGATAAGTCACTGATAGCAGATTTTTGGAAAGCAGTGTTCCAATCATCATTTTGAAAACTGATCTGTTCCTTAGGTCACCAAGGATGAGCTTTTCTCAGGTCCTGCATTGGCTTTGGAAGGGGAATATCAACCAAAGCGACCTTTTTCTCCCATACCTTGAACACTATCAAAGAGTTTAGCTTGAGCTGCTGCCCTGGCAGCCCTCCAAGGGAAAACACCAGTGGTGTCCCAGGAGACAAGTTCTCAATAGGCATGGAATGAGGAAATCCTTGGGAAGAACTCTCAGCAGTCACTGCAGGAGAGAAACAGGGCAGGGAACTAGGATAAGCAGATCCCTGTGGGGCCATCAACAGAGGAGAGCAGTGGGAGCTGTCTCTCATGAGACCAAGGCCAGGTTCCACTCAGGCTCATGGGGGGTGCAGAGGTGAGATGGACACTCGAGGGACTCTGTAGAAATTGGGCACAAATGGAAGAATGAGCCTGGAGTGAGGGTGGCTGCTGGGCTGAAATGCCAGTCCTTGATGGACATAAGGTCCAGCATCCCGAGACAGAAATGGAGACAATCCCTTTTGGAATAACACCTCTCTGATTTACACACCAGAGATGTGTTTCATTGGGGTAGCAGGGAAATCTGAGGCTCAGTCTGTTCTGAATTTTTCCAGTTTAATAGCAGAGATTTTCTGCAGGATGTTGTGGTTTAACCCAAGCTGGAAATTCAGCTTCAGGCAGCTCTTGTTCACTTCTGCCTTGGTGGATTGGGGAACAAATCAGAAGAGTGAAAGTCAAAAAACTTGTGGGTTGAGATAGAGGCAGATTAACAGCCAAAACAAAATCTGTGCAAGCAAAGCAGAACAAGGAATTTATTCACCACTTCCCCCGGGCAGGCAGGTGTGCAGCCATCCCCAGGAGAGCAGGAATCCACCACAGGTAACTTGTGGTGACTTGGGAAGAAAAACTCCATCGCCCCCAAGTGTCCCTTCCTTCCTTGTTCTTCCTACAAGTTTTATTGCTGAGCATGACCCCAAATGATCTGGAATATCCCTTGGATCCCCTGGGGCCAGCTGTCTTGGCTCTGTCCTCTCCCAACTCCTTGTCACCCCCAGCCCTCTCTTTGGTGGGGTGAGGAGCAGAAAAGGCCTTGACTGAATCCTGCTCAGCCATAACAAAAAACATCCCTGAATTATCAGCACCGCTCCCAGCACAAACCCAAACCACCACTCCAAACTGGGAAGTAAATTAAATCTATCCCAGCCAAAACCAGCACACAGAAGGTACTTGAGGGACATAGAACAAATCATCAATGTCTGCTTTGTAATTTGGACATGTCCAGGCTGTGGGCAGTGAGATATCCTTGCTACAGTGTGTTCTTTAAATACTGCATTTTGTGACTGTTGTTGAAAACAGGTCTGATGTTTTAAAACCCAGTCTATTCATCACCCAAAATCTTGCCTCTGTAAAGGGATAGTTCAGACCCCATTGTTGTGTTAATAAATTCAGGTGTGTGTGTGTCTATTTTTAATGCTTATATATTATACATTACATATTATATATTAATTGTATATATTATATTCTTTATTCTATATTCTCTATTCTATATTCTATATTCTATGTTATATATTATATATTATATATTATATATTATATATTATATAATTTATATTATATATTATATAATTTATATATTATATAATTTATATTGTATATTATTTTTTACATTTTTTTAAAATTGCAATACTGCTGGTGTTTATTGGCCACCATACAATTATCCTCTGTGTCAAGAGTTGCCTTTAAAGTTCTTCCCATTCAGCTTTCATTCCTGTCATCCTAAATGCTTTATTACAATCATCAAAACTGGTTGCTCTTTTAATCATTCCCTTCCCCAAATCCTTTGGGAATATGTGAGACTGCACAGACTCACTTTTTTTAAAAAATGCTGCATTACTCTGAGACTTGAGTCAAAACCATAGAGGAAATTACTGTGAGTAACAACAAAGATCACGGGTTTTGGTTTAAGAAAACCTTTATTTTCATGTGTGAATAAAATAATAATATGTATATTGCTTCACATCCTCCAAGAGCTGCATGAACCTGAAGTGATTGAACCTCCAAACACCCCTGTGAGGTAGGCTGGAATAGGTGGCCAAGGAGCCAAAGTGGCTTGAGTATTAAAAGCAAAAAGGGAGTGACTTCAGCAAGGAAAAACCCGGATCTCCAGAAGCGGTGTGCTAACAGGACATGCCCTCTGGAAGCTTCTTTTAAAGCTCATTTGCAGGAGGCTTTAGATAGAGGAGGAATCCATGAAAATCAGCTCCTCAAGGCAATGGAAATGCTGCTGGTCCAAGGGCTCTGATCCAGGAAAGCCTTTTCTTCTTATTCTGCCAAAATCCTGCAAGAATAGAAAGGGTCTTGTTGTTGTGCTGCAGCACCACCTCAGCTTGTTCTCTAAAAGCCTCAGTATCCTCTAATTACCTTTCAAAATGAACTACAGGGTGGGTTCAGCCTACAGGTTTAAAAACCTACATCTCTGTGTGTGTTGGGTGTCCAGCTCTGCAGATAACCAGTGTATAAGAACTGTGGCCACAGGTAAATTAATATGACCACTTGTAATGACATTTTTTATTCCATTTACAGCCAAAAAAAATGCCACTAAACATCTCAATGTATCCTGCTGAATCAAGCCCTTCATGTCTAAATTCAAAGAGTTGTTTTTAAGCAACCCAAGCTGGAAAAAAATATTTATATTGTACTTCAGAACACCCTGTTGGTTTTAACTTCTACTGTTGAATTGGTCAGCTCAGCTGAAAATCAAGCAGCCAACATAAGAACTTTAATCCTGAACACTGACATCCATCAGTATCAGGTACATTCTTCCAAGAAAGAGTATTTCTGTAGGAAAATTATACCTGAAACTAGACTTGAGAGGTCTTGCTCCTTTCCCAGGCTCAGTTTTCTTTCTGTCAGGTATAGCAGATGTTCTGACAGAAATTTGATGTTGGAGTTCTCCCACCTGCTCCTACCAGTCCATTTGCTATCAGTGGAAATTGCTTCCCAAGGAGGATGTGTGGTCACAGAAACTGAGGGACCACATCACTTCTTTGTAAAATCATCTAATATCAGGTTCCTTCTGTTCCATTTGCTTTCCTGAATTCCCAAATGCATCCTTAGCATTTTATTCCTTAGCATCTTATTCTCCTGGCAACAAACCTATCCTATTATTGGAATTAGGCTTCCTGAAACCACTGAGGATCCCCTTGTGCTGAATAAATGTATAAAACTTTTTTTCTAGAATAACCTCATCAGATTTCTTCAGTTTCTGGGAACCTTTAAACCCTGGCAATTCTATAAATAACAGAATCAGAGAACAAGGAGTTCTGGGAAATTCAGACATTGCAGATCTGAGCTCTCCCATCATTTTGAGCCAAAGTCTGTCCTGTCACATCAGTGGCTGGGGATCTGCCTGAACATCATGGCTGGGATAAATTATATCATCACACCAGTCCTCTTCAGCAAAGGTACAGGAACCTCTCCTAATCTGGCGCTGAATTTGGGGGTGTGAATGTCACTGCAGCTGGCAGGGAGCGTCTCGTAGCCATTAATGGAACAAAGTTATTCTAAGAATTAAGTAGATGGAGAATATGTTTTATTTTAAGCTGAAGAGCATTCCCAAAAGCACGTTCAATACTTTAAGGAAATTTAAAAAAAAAAAAAAATCTGTGTATCAGGGGAAACTCCAGACATTACTAGAAAGTGGTTTCCAAGGTCAAAATGAAATGCACACCCAAGTCTCCACTCACTGACAAATTCACTCCTCTTCACCTTTCTAAGAGCTGTGCAGTGGAGGAAGGAGAGAGGAGGAGAGGTTGAAACGCAGAGTTCTGTGAACAGTTTTCCCCCTTTAAATGTACATTTTCTAGGTAAATTTTAAAATAAAAACAGAGGGATGATGAAAAGCTCCCCTGATGGGTATAAATACTGTGAAGTATTTTCCTAATAATTTCTTGAAAAAACTTCCTTTCTTTTCCTATAAAAATTCAATATAAAGTGAAAAAAATACTGAATTCTTGGAAATTTTGACCATTCTGAACCCTTTCTCCTACACATAACTTCCATTCAAATGAATTTTCTCCCTAAACACACATCAACATTATACACGTGTTCCTCCTCCCTCTGGACTTTCCCTCCTAGGATTGCCCTGCAAGTTGCCCTGAAGTTTTGCTGATTATTCAGAGAAACAGTGGATGAAACAGGGAACCTTCTGAGGTCCCTGAGATGTTTTGTCACCTACTTGGAGCAGCAGTTCATCAGTCCCCCGTGGCACGTCCCCGTGGCAGCGAAGGTGGGTGGGCACTCCCCGGCACGGCAGAATTTTCCCTGGCCCCGGCACTGGATGGTGTCCTCAAAAAGAGGGTCTGCAGAACCTGTGGGGAGTGGCAGGAGTTAAAATCTCAGCGTTCTGCCTGAAATTATGAGAGGCAAATGTTCAACAAATCATGTGTTGTCTTTTTTAGCAAGAGGGGCGTCCTGAGCAGAGATGCTCCTGCTCCCACCACTGCACCATCCCCACGGCATCAGATTTTGCCTTTCAGCTGATGGTGGCTTTTTCCCCCCTGTGAACACTCTGCTGCTTACAAACCCTTTTGCTCTCTATAGGAGTTTTGCTTCTCACCTGAAGTAGCCTGGAAGAGGAGGAGGAAGACAGCGAAGAGCAGGTAGAGGATCTTCATGGCTGTCAGCTGCTTTTGGATTGTGAGGTCCTGCAGAGCACCTGAAAGGACAATGATGGCTGGAACTGGCCTGAGCAAGGGCTGGGACAGACACCCGGTATTTATAGGGCCCTTGGGGTTGTGCAAGTGTGACAAGTCAATGAGTAACTCCATGAACTTTCTGGAGAGGGACCCTTATCACAGGTGGCAGTGAATGTGTCGCAATCCCCCAAGGGTGAATTTCCACTTCAAGTGTCAGTTATGTAATCTGACCATCAGCCAAGCCTGACTGAGCTGCACCAATTTTCATGGCTTTTGGAAATCTCTTCCCAACACAAGCACCAGGATGGGTCAGAAGGACTTGGAACTCAGTGACCATTAGAGTGGGGACCCAGCTTTGACGCTGGATTCGTCACTCACTGACAGTTCAGGTAACATTTTGTCTCCATCTCCCCATCTCTGTAGCCAGGTGGATGATACCAAAACCAGAGGAAAGCATTGGGAAAGACTTGAGGTGATGCAACTGCTCTGTGTCACTTTTTAAACAGGTCTCAGGACAGCCTCACCCACTGCAGGGGGCTGACACAAAGCTCTCCCCCTCCTTCAGTCCTCACTTGTATCACAGAATCACAGAACATTTTGGGTTGGAAGGGGCCCTAAAGATCATCTCAATCTACCACCCCTGCCATGATCAGGGACATTTCCACTAGAACAGGTTGCTCCAAGCCCCATTCAACGTGGCATTTCATTCCATATCATTCCCACTGCTCTATCTTCAGCCTTAATTTGCAAATTCTGACCTCTCCCCATTCATTTTGTTTGTCCATATTAAAAACCTCAGGAGTTAAAGAGTTGTAACACTCACTAAAATATCTCTTTTCCTTTAAAGGGAATAAACCACTTCCTTTACACGCACAAGTTTGTGGTGCAATGCCAAATATTTCCCCTCTTATTGCCCCGAGAGTTTGGGAGAATGGGCTGATTCCACAAGAATCATGTCTGACCCAATGCTTTGAAAGGCAACCTCTTCTGGGGCTTCACTTCAGGGCACGATGCCTGTGGCTGTAAATGTTCTTAAAAGGAGATCAATGCAGGAAGGGTCTTCTTCACAAAATCCTGGGCTAATAAACAGCTTAAACACTGTCACAGCCCAGGTGTTTCTGCAGTTCCTACCTCTGACATTTTGGTTCAGTGGTTTGCTTCCTTATTACCTCATTCATTATGTTTAACTCGGAGTTAATGGCATTTTTGTTCCAAGAATTGTTCGAAGGATGAAAACATTACTGAGGTTTATGTTTAATTTGCATGGTAATGGGCCAGCTCGAGTAGCTGAGGGAGAGGTAACAAGGTGAGTTTATGCAGCAAAAAACAGCAAAACTGATTTACCTCTCCCACTCATAAAATCTAATTAACCAAGAAATGCCAAGTGCTCCTTTTTTGTGTCTCTTTTTTTTTTTTTTTTTTTTTGTACCCTTGCCTTGAAAATTATCTTTTCCCTTGCCAGCAACTCTCCAGCTTTCCCCATTTATAATGGAGAAAAAAATTTAATTTGACATCCCTCTCTTTTTAGTGGGATACAGAGAGGCAAACGCCTGACCTGCAACACCAGCATGAATAAACCATTTTTTAAAATAAATAGAAATAAAACCTTTTTGTTTTTATCAAGACTCATTGAGATGTGAATTCACCTCACTTGTCTTTCACATAGACAGAACACTGTGGGAATGTTGTGCAAGTGGAAGCACTTGTCCATAAGGCATCCAAGTGAGGGAGTAAGGGTGTTTCTCCCAAATAAAGTTAGAGTGTGGCACTGGGAAAGGTTGTGATTATTTTTTATTATTTGAAAAAGCTCCACTCACTTCCACGGCTTTATTTTCCCTCCTCTGGAACAAAATCAATCTGTTATCAGAGTTAAATTATATACTTTCATTTACATGGACTGCCATAGCACTCAGATTTTGCTGAACAGCCTCTTTCCTTGCAGAAAGAGAACAACCTCTAGGAAACAGGGAGGAAGATTTTTGCAATGAGGGTGGAAAACCCATGGACAGGTTGCCCAGGGAGGTTGTATGAATACCTCTGGAAACAATCAAGGATGGGGCTAGGAACAATCTGGTCCTGTGGAAGGTGTCCTTGCCCATGGCAGGGGGTTTACTGAGATGAACTTTAAGGTCCTTTCCAAGCCAAACTCTTCAAATTCCATGATTTCATGGAAGTGACCAACACGTTGAACCCTGCTAGCACAGGCAACCCGAAAATGTCACTCAGAGCAAGAGGAAAATTCCACGACTTTGACTCCTAACCAAAACAAAAACAGGAGCAAACTGGTTGCTTAAAACCGGGCAAAACTTGTATAAAACAGGGAAGGAGCAGAACAATTCATGCAGTACAGCAGTGACCTGGGGCTGGAACATGGAAGTGTGTGCATGGAACTCTATCCCACAGTACCCAGGGCCAGGATGAAGTCCTGGAGATCTCTGTTGATCACCAACTTCCACACATGAGGTGGGAATTCAAGGAGCTGCAAGTACCTATCCCAGAGAAATCAAGCAAAGAGGAGCTGGGGGGATTTTGCAATTCAATTTTCCTGAATTTTGTCCCAGCAGCCCCTTTCCAAAGGTGATATTGCAAGGAAAATCTAATGTTGTTGTGTTGCAAACAGCATTTCAAGCTGATTTTTTCAATCTTCTGCAAGACAGGGTTTTTTCTTCTCTTGTTCCCTCCTTGGGTAACAAACTACCTCCATAATAATTCACAGCAAACACCATACATGATGTTATACAAGAGGGGTTTGCCTCAGTGTTTTCTCTTAAGTGTAACTCATCAGCTAATGGCAAATGAAAAGAAGTCTAGGAACCACTATGCTTTTGAGAAAGTTTGTTTAAAATATGTTGCATGTATTTGGATGGTGGCAAAACTTCATTTTACCATTGTAAATATAAATATGCCTTTAAAATCTCATAGGCACAGGATTGTTTAAGAAATCATGTGCTTATGTTCCATTAAAACCAAATGCGTACTAAAACATAATCCAGTACTCTCCTGGCTTTCCTAATGATAGCAAAAATCATTATTATAGAATCATAGAATCATGAAAAAATTTGGGTTGGAAGGGACCTTGAAGATCATCCCATTCTACCTCTGCCACGGGACACCTTCCACTACCCCAGGTTGCTCCATCTGGAACAGCCTGGTCTAGTGGAAGGTGGAACATCCTTGGAACTGTCCAAAACCAGGCTGGATGAGGCTTTGGGGAACCTGGGGAAGTGGAAGGTGTCCCTGCCCATGGCAGGGGGTTGAAACTGGATGGTCTTCAAGACCCATTCCAGCCCAACCCATTCTGTGATTCCATGTTTCTACCCTTTGACATCATCCTGCTAAGGGCATGTGGAAGAGGTTTTACAGAGACTTCTGTGAGCCAGAGAGAAATTTGATAAGAGAATCCATATTTACGCCTGAAAGAATTTTCTACCAAGGTCATTGACACAGAAACCAAGAAAGAAAGGATAAATAAGAGAAACCTGCAACTGCCTATTCCAATGAGCACTTTGTCTTTCATGACCAATGAGTAAAGTCTAAACTTATGAGTTTTGTAAGAATGCATAAAAAGCACACATGCTATGATAAAAATGGTTTGAAGCCTTCTGAAAATGGAGTGTGCTGCTTTGTATTGTCTCCATCTCAACTATGACAAGGGCACAATGAGAATGGGAAAATGAGGGCCAAGGTTGCTTCATCCGTGAAAATTTATTAGTGGGCATCCTCTAATGGATACTCTTGGCTCTCACACACAGTATTCCCACATGTCTCTTGTCATTAGAGGGGTTTGTGCCATTCCCATGGGCTAAATGGGTGCACAGGTTTTTACCTCTGTTTTTCCATCGGTCCTCACTGTGCTTGGCAACAGCTACAAAGGTCTCCTATTAAAGAAATATTGTAAATTTTTTAGATGAGGAGAAATACAGCAGATGAGTTAATGAATCCCGGTGTGTGAGACATTGGCTGGTGTCATTGAAAGGGCACAAGGGGAGGCCCCTGTGCATTTGAGTTTCAGGGATGGTGCTGTGCTGAGGTCTGGGAACCTGGTCAATTATTACCTGCCCTTGGCTGTTTTGATCTCAGCTGCTTGTGCCCTCCTGTTGCAATCCAGACACTGAGTCAACATTAAATAGAAATTTAAATGACAGCACTGAACACCAGCTGGGAGAATGTACTGTCCTCTGTGCCTCTAAGATAAAGGGGAATTCCTCTGTGGAGGAGAGGGTGAGAAGGAATAATAATGAGTGTTTGAGAGGAAGGAGGAAGGCAGGATATCATGTAGGTTATGGAGAAAAGACTGGTCCTTCTCTGGTCCTGATGAGGAGTTCCCTGATGTGTCACACAGCCCTAGTGCTGCTGCTTTTCCTGAAAAATACTGAGACTTCTGTGTGGATGGTGTCTTACAGAATAACACAGAAGCCTTAAATTTTAAGAGTTATTGAGCAGTTGATGACAAGATAAAACACCAGAAGTGTCTTCATTAGACAGTGAGCAGGGTCTGAATGCTTCTCTCTGTGCATCATTTAAATGTTAGACAGTGAGCAGGGTCTAAATGCTTCCCTCTATGCATCATTTAAATGTTAGACAGTGAGCAGGGTCTAAATGCTTCTCTCTGTGCATCATTTAAATGTCTACTCCTGTGTTGTACTGGGTAGTTTCTGTTGCCTTTGGCACCATCATCATCATCAAAAACAGAATCATGGAACTCCACTGATTCTTGTTAGGTAGGAAGCTGCTAATGCTGCAGCCACAAGAATTGGATTAATATATATTTATATCTGTAATCAGTCAGGTCAGCATGGCATTGACCTTCTCCTTGTTTTCATCTGTAGCAGACAACTCCCTTGTGCCTGCTACATCCAAGATCACATTACAATTTACTGAGCTGCAGCTAATTCAGGCAGCAGAGTGTGAGCAGTGATTCAGGATGTGACCACTGAAAACTCATCATCTGCAATATTCAATTATTAGAACAGCCCTGACAGTTTTATCTTCTGCTAGCCCTCTGCCAAAAATTCCTGGGCTGTTTCAATGATTAGACCTGGCT